TAGCAAATGTGACTGGAGGGGGGGCATGAAAGGGGAAGTGGTGGAGCTCAAAGTTCTCTTTGACTTCGGCCCTCAAAGCAGACAGCACGCAAGCCTTTCCACACACACTCACTCACACACACACACACACACACACACACGCTATATTGCACATGGCATAGGGCACAGTACGTGTGTTGAGTAAGTGGAATAAGGGAAGCGTTTTTGCTAATTCCAACAAAGCTACAGGGGATCCGGCAGGGAATTTGCAAATAGAAATCCTCCGAGCTGCCCGAGTATCCCTGGCACTGGACACCATGCAGCTGCTCTATCTGTGATTCATTGGTTTGGAAATAGGAAGTGAAATGGCAAGAAATCCTCTTTAACTCCAATTATCATAGAGCAGATCACTGTAATGGGTATACATGGAAACAGTTACACTCGGCTCTACCACCACCATTGCTACCTCACGCAAACACACCACACACACACACACACACACACACACACACACACACATCTTGGAAGCAGCACTCCATCAATGAGGAGAATTAATGTGGGCATGTTGGGATGGAAGTATTTCTGGCCGGGGTCCAAACCTTCCTATACCCCCCCTGCCATCTGCCCCTCATTATGAGCATTTTGTATGAATACAGGCCGGATAGTGCTGCTCCCCCCCCTTTCCATAGCTTACTACGGCCGAAGAGCCGGTGGCAGCTCAAAAAACCCTCAGAATTTATAAATTGTATGATAACCTGCCCTTAACCCACAGATGAGACGGCTGGATGTACTACCACTGGCCTGTGATGGATGGCCCTCACTGTCTGACCACAGTTATGATTATTACGTTTAAAACCAGGAGAGAAATGATGAGGAAAATATTTTCTTGTCCACTGTGTGGTGTGAAATAGCGTATAAATGAGAGCTGACCGCAGTGATAAGCCAGAAAGATTAAACATGGGCTATGGTTTAACTGAGAAACATTTGAAAATCACCTCCCTAACCGCTGTCGTGCAAGTGCAAATGGATGAAATGACATTTTCCCCAGCATACGCATTCCTGTTCGACCATGTTGGTTTGGGCATGCCACAACTCAGGCCGGACGCATACTGTACGACAGTGAGTGTCAATTCTACCACGGCAGATTTATCAGTGGGGTTGCTTTTGGGGAGTGTTGTGGAGATGGTGTGGCTCCATCCCTGCAGCTGAACTTTGATGGAGCGAGGCATTAAAACTTTGTCACGTAGCTAGCTCCGCACCACAGATGAATCCATCTTATTAACAAAAAGTGTTAAAGGTTTCAATCAGGGGCTCCCAAAGGCTCGCCTGGGATGACTGCACTTATTATGGTGACAGCTTAAATCAGTAAATCTGTAAATTACAGATTCCACATCAGACTATGGCCATCCGTGGAAACCCTGGAGATCAGCGCTCAAATAAACCCAGCTAAATATTCTGCCACGTGCGTTGTGCACTCGTTTCCTTGCAAACACACCCTCCCTGTCTTCCTCACCATATTCAGCTTGAGCTTTGCTTCCTCCCCCGGCGCCTCCTCTCCTGTCCCAGTCTGCCGGCGGCCTGAGGAAGTTGCTGTCCTCGCTGTTGCTCCCGTAGGTGCGATCGTGCTCCTCCGTCTGATGAGTGGTGGAGGTGGAGGAGGAAGGTGAAGAAGAGCGAGGCCACCAGTTTCTCCAGTTCGGGGAGGCCCAGTTGGGTTTGCTCTCCTTACGGAGGCCTTTCTCTGGCTCGTGGCTCTCTAGTCCATCCACCACTTCAATGGTCACCTGAATTCAAGAACAGAAGTCCATTTAAGGTGCATTTTCAAGACACTTGTATGTAGCATTTTGGGACACAATGGGTCAATCAAGGGCCTCGGGGGTGACACTTTCTGATCCCCCCACACACACAATATTACCCCCTCCCCCTTTCTGTCCTAACACATGTGCCTCCCAGATGAGGGGGGACCACCACCCTACCCCACAGTCACCCTCCCACCTCTTGGGCCCTCTGCACCTAAACACAAAGTTCAAAGGGCTACTCAGCCTCCTCCAGACCATGAAAGCCAGATGAATCCCAGGATCAAAGACACCCCCCCCCCCCCCCCCACCTCCTGCTCCCACAGCCTCACGCCCTTGCTCAATTGGTTGCTCGGCTCTCTTCCCACATCTTGAGATGTTAATACACTTTGTCCGTGCTCGGATTTAGCGGCGATGCTCTCAGATATGAAAAGACCCCCTCGCTGGATTAGACAGGAGAATGATTTAAACATGGCAGCGGTTGCTCGGCCATCTGCACCGCCGAGGTACTTACGGGCAAGGGCTTGCCACACATTTACATAAGCTGCCGTCTGTTTCCCTGCATATGGGTCAGCAGTAAGGCATTGCTGGTTAGCGTCTGCCTTTCAGCTGCCATTATGATGGACGTGAGGCCTCAGTGTCCATCGTAAGCTTCACTCCGAGCCAGGGAGTGTGAAAAGGGGACAGGGGGAGAGGGAAGGAGGGAGCGGGAGAAAAAAAGGGGGTAGTGATGTGCACCAAACTATTCTCCTTCGTCCTGTTTGCACTTCCTGTCCTATGTGGTTGGGTAGCCATGTCTTACAAGAGAGTTAAAGCATCAAAGCACACTAGCAGGTTCACAGACACACATGGTCACCTGTATATTGGGATTCTGTCCATTGATGTCAGCTTTGGAGAGGTCGGGGAAGTTGTGCAGATCCAGGAGGAAAGCTCCAGGGCCGTCCCTGTGTACGTTGCTGCCCTGTGCCCAGGGGAGGGTGGCAGGCCGGTGGGCCAACTGCTGCTCTGGACCTGACCTCCGGTCTTCAGGAGCCGGTTGGGCAGAGCTGCTTTTTGCATTTATATTGTTCTGCAGAGGAGAGAAAGGAACATAATATATTAATATTGTTTGTGCATTTACACCATAAAATATTGGAATGCTTGCAGAAAATATTTGATTCCCTTTCGTGTGAACGTTGAGACTAAGGGCCCTGTCACTTGGCATCCACAGAGTCTGCACACTCAGCAACATTAGATTGATGTTGACAGAGGTTCATGAGGCCGCGACCTCTGTCATAAATCCTGTGGACAGTGGACTCTCGACTTCTCGGAGCCCAGAAAGACGGAGCCACTGAAGCAGTGGGACAAACATAACACTGAGTTCTGTGCGTCTGTCTGCATCCACCAAAATATGATCCGTCTCAGAACATGCACTCAGAGCCAGTGTCACAGCAGGACTGTATATTTTTCCCTTTTTAACCAAGCACGCTGCTGCTTTACCGTAGTTATATGATGTGGACATTTTTAGCATTGTCCGGGTGCTGGCTGGGAGAAAAGAGCGTGTAAGACTGATGGGTTTCCTGCGGTGGGGCTATACTGAGAAACCTAAGCAAACGTTGCAAAATAATTACATCTGCCTTCTTGACGACAGAAAAACATTTGGTCGTCTGACAGGGGGGGAGGTTGTAAATTCATCCCAAAAGGACAGTTGAGGACATATGTCCCCTGTCAGGTATGCACAGAAGGAACAATTATATCTCAATTGGACAGACAGCCATAAGTAGTCGGCAATCAAGCATTCTGGGGTGGTAGAAAATAAGATCAAAGAAAGCAATCAATCATGGGGCTCGTTTTCTTTTTTTCATGTCCCATTTCGTCCTCCCTAGTGTTTTTGTGGCCGGGCTGAGGCCTGAGAATACGGCAGCAGTGCTGCACGGTTGAGGTGGCCAGTCACAGACAACCTGTCAGCTCAGCCACATTGTGGCGGCCGTAAAAAGCCCCCAGTGGAGCTGTTTGTGTCCGGCCAAGGTGCACTCTAGACGCTGTAAATCCTGCTGCACAGCAAGGGGGGAAGATTTATAAATGTATGTTCATGTAACTTAAATTCAACCGCAGAGGTGGACATAAAGCATTGTTTTTCTTAATTCACGAGATGGAGAGATTTCGAGATTCACACATTGAGTCAATGTGATGCATTTCAAAGAATTAAAACAACTTTCACAACACATATCTACATGTGAGTTACTGCTGTAATTACAATGATTATACTGTTGCCCATCATTTTCGGGAGGGAGTGAAGATGGCTGTGCCTTCTTATCTGTAGCCACCAAATAAAAAGAGAATTTATGTTCAAAATCATACAATTTGAGGAAAAACAATTCTGGAAAAGCGGATTCCAATTAAAACCACGAAAGTCATTTCCATGACCGAACAATTATAGCTGAGATCTCAATACAGAAAAAGGTCATTTCAACAGCATAGTTTGTGCATCGACCCTTATGTGAACATTGCAGGGCCCTCTTTGGTTCCATCACAAGCACTTGGGCTTTGAGATGCCCACGTGATAACCCAGTCTTTCAAGTTCCCAGCCTTCAGAAGTCACTCAGTGGCTGTAGTTGAGCTCCACCGAGGGAGCGGGCCCAACACAACACTCACAGGTTCAATCACAATGTAAATACACACACACACGTGTAAATAACGTAAACAGCTGTGTTTAATCTCCCTCGTAGATTATATTTTTATGGTTATTAGTATTTAACTGCAGACCACACAAGTTGCTCTGTTTCCTGTTACTGATACTACAAACAGTCATTTAAATCTGCTGCCAGAGGATTCCCAACTACCGCACAATTCACAGCCACTGAAGACAGACACCTTTGTTTTCCCATCGTACGACTGTGAGGTGTTTTCATTCCCAACACCTGCCGTTTCAGGAAATTCATCCCAAAATGTCTCTGGCTGCTGATGAAGACACAGATAATAACTGTCAGTGAGTTATGACTTACTGCTTTCTCCATGAAGTGGTCTGTTGAAAGAAAGCAGATGCCGACTACAAATGTTCCAGAATACACAAACTGTTGGCTGGTATACAGCCACAGTGTTTGCAGTCAGATTAATCCTTCGTTATCCGGTCTAATCTTATCTGAATCTTCTGTTGTGTCACATTATGATGTATGACACATGGCAGGCAGATTATCTAATCCTGACACAAATTTGGATTATTTAACGTCAAATTTAAAAGCATTGTGATTAATCCCAGGGCAACACTTGTGATGATGTTTCACTCAGTAGGGGAGAGTAAATCGGTTTATGGGCAAATATTGGTAGTTTAGCTCTAATGTGGTTATTATTTTTGGAGGGATTATATGGCGGATAGTTTGGTAAGAATGCTCCATATGGGAGAATTGCTGCTAAGTGTTTTTAAGAAAAAATATGTAGTGATTATTGAAGAAGTGCTGCATGTTTAAATAATACTAGTGGCAATCATTTGCAACCAAACCACTACTACTGTAACCACCTGTAACAACCGGTTTCATGTTTAAATTATTTGCAATCCGCTGTCATTTTGAATTTCCCAGATTGCTTTTCCACCTTTTATCTATCCAAGAGCGACATCACTTCATTATTGGAGCTGCTCAGTATTGAACTTTAGACCATAGATGCCGCTGGAATGTGTACAAAGCATTGGCAGCCTTAAATGTAACGCTGTCGATGATAGCCTTGAGCTGAATTGTGAGATTTGTATTGCTGAAAACAGTCCATCAGTTGGACAGAAAGAGGGAACTCTAAGCTGCTTTTCCCCATCAGCACTGAGATTTCACAATCAATATCAATGACTGGGAGCTCAGCAGTGTGAAGTAGAGTTGAAAATATTGGAAATAATGCACAACATGGGAACAAGTCATCTGAGAGGAATTTAACTGTGTATCAGTTGTGTAAATTCCGGATAATGTCGACATAAACACCTCTCTCTGTCTTTTCCAAGTGGCTCTCTCTGTCTTTTCCAAGTGGCTCTCAGTGGAGCTTTTTAACACATCATAATAAGAAAAACATGCTGTTGTCCCATTTTTCTCTAATACGTCCCAGGCTGTAGCAGTGCACAGGAGTAACCCATTTAAATGTAAAAAAAAAAATCAGCAGTGTTCCCCTTTGATGGCGGGCTGCTTTACAGACCCTATCACTCATCTGAGATCTTCCTCAACAGGAACGCGCTTTAATTTGGAGATCAGAAGTGACACACCATTCCTCGGTACATCTGGGGCCTCCCAGGATGTCACCCCCCCACTCTCAAAAGCCATGAATGAACACTTGCACACACAAGCCACCCCCTCTCCCTCCTCACAGTATCTCCTCGTCTTTTTCCCGCTTCCCCCCTTTTCACTTTGTGAGGGCTGCTTAAAGGGGCATGACTCCATTTTCAATTGGGAGCAACTCAGGGGTCCTCCCCCCAGGGAGGCTGGCAGGAAATGAAGGCAGTGCACATTGTGCCAGATGCTTTTCAGCACCACACTTTTGTAGGTGGAAGAGAACACTATCCTTCCCCTGTCACACACGCCTCATACTGGGCTTACGTGTGTTTATTTACAGGATCAAACTGAGAAGGTACATGAAGGAGCTCAGAAGTGATTCGTTTCGACAAGACTTCTTGAAAATAAAAGACAAAGAAAAAAAGCTCAAGGGTAGAAGACCATGTTCTTAACTGACAAATACAGTTCTTTAACATAATATCACACTAATGTACACCCCCACAGTGGATGAGTCTGCATTCATGGGTCAGTGGTGATAATGTGCCTTGGACCAAAGCATCTTCTCTCTCCACTACAGGTGCATGGATCCGCATCCTGTCATTTGTGTTTCTGTGAATGGCATTTTAAATATGACACTTTGGATTGACAATACACCCCCTGGGCCGTGACAAGCCCGGCCGAAAGATGACATCACCGTCTTCAGTGGCGGACCGGTGAAGCATTTCCGGAACATTCATGAGCAAAAAAGAAAAACCATTCTCAGCCCTTTTCTCGACGTGGGGCATGAGTGGCATGTCGGGCTCTTTCATCACAAGCCAGAATCTCGATGCAAATTTGGACTAGTGACAAAAGGCATGTTTGGGTTGGAATAGGTGGCATGTGTTTCGGATTTTGTGCGGCAATTCCTCGGGAGAAACTCTCTCCTGGTCCTCATCCTGTTCGTCCAATCCAACATTTGGCTGTGTGACAAATATTCGATAAATTACTGTAACATTTCTTCAGCTTTGCAAATGACCCTCACCATCCTCTGTTGAAGTAAAAATTCTTTCCATTCATTTCCCCCCCAGCCCTAAAAAAGACTTTATGAAGGGATGCCATTCCAGTGGGCATAAATACCCGTTTATCACTGGGACACGACTAAAGTATTTCAGTAGCATGCTAAATATACAACACAAAGCAGCTGAAGGATGCTTAACACTCTCTAAAACAGCCTGTTGATCCAGACCTGTCTTAGCCCTCTAGTCAAGATTTGAGGCTCTCATGGAGTCTGCGTGCTTTATGCTGATGTTAAAATGGGCAGTGCAGTTAAACAGTCGAGCCGGTCTTAAATGGTGTCATGTTGACAAACGTCTCCCCTCGTGAAATTTTGCCGAGGCACGTTCTAAACAGGAGCACAACACAGAAAGGTGTCTTTTAAAAACTGTATTTTGACCAGACTACATCAATGTCAAAAGATTTCAAAACTGCATATTGCTTTATTAGTATTCTTCCATTTCTATGAGTATAGTGCTCGATCAAACAAAACAGGTTGTGCCTGAGGCTTGATCTGGAGAAGGGCGCTGAGGGCCGAGGTCAGTTGGATGCCGGACTCTTCTCCACCTTCAGGGGTTCAGCTCTGACCCTCAGCCTCATCAACTGAAAGCTTGGGTGACAGTGAGGATGAGCCCATGATGACAGAGAAGTGCCTGCAGCTAGAACTGAACCCCCCACAATAGAGAACTGCGTTTGGTGCGGGGGGGGATCTCTGACCCTGCCTCATCTTCCATTTCTCTACTGGCTCCCTGTTATTCCCGGGGGACACCCTGGAGACCACATCCGTGCGTGTGTCAACAAGCCCAAAGGACTCCCGGGGTAGCCTACTGAGGGATTATTTTACCTGGGCCATAGCATTTTGTCAAACCCATCTGAACCCCCCCCCCCAAAAAAAAAACGAATGTACAACCTGCTCCTACTTCCTGACAGATTTCCTAACTCACCTCTGTAAGGGCTGTGTCCTGATCCAGGCTCAGAGTTTCATTGCCCTGGGGCAGCGGACTGCTCCGCAGTACCGTGATGTGCAAGGTGAGGAGAAGAAGTCCGAGGAGCAGCAGCAGTTCCGCCGCCAGTCGCACCATCCTTTTGACGCGGCCGCCCTTGGGAGCCTGCGGTGTGGCCGGAGCTCCGACTCCACCTCCTCCCGGTGCAGAGACTCCGATCTCCGGATCCGCCGGGGACGAGGAGCCGCAACACCACTTCGGAGCCACTTCGGGAATCAGCGTTGCAAAAATGAAGGGAAAAGGATCGGAGGTGGGATGGTGGAATACTTTGGAGGAGAAAAGAAAGTGCTGGATATTGAGTTGGATCCAGTGGGGGGAGTTCTTTATAAACTGTGTCCTAAATTAAGATTGATCCTCTTGCTGATTTTTCATATACTTTGATTTTGAGCCAAATATGATATGAGTTGATGTGCTGATCTGCCAATGCACACAGAGCACTGACTACTGCAGGGCTGATCCAGCGCGCAGCATTAACGCTTCCCCCCTCTTGTTGCGCTCTCGTCAAATCTCCAAGCTCAGGAAACTTTCAGCCCAGTTGCCCCGCGGTGTCCCCGCCACATTCTCAGCCTCACGCTTCTCTTTTCCTCACTTCCAATTCAGCCGCTTAACGCACTTCTTGTTGTGTCCACATTCTGGGGTCTCCGAAAGTTCTTCGACGAGCCTACCTCTGGAGAAATGAGTACAGGTAGTTCAAAGTTCTATCTTCCCAGTGAAGACTTCGCGATGGAGTTCTGTCCCACCTCAAAAACAGTCTTCGTCCATTATGCTGCGGGTCGTAAGCCCACCGAAATGAAGACCCGGGCTGGCGTGAGTCTCTAACGAGTCCTTTCGGAGGAAACGAAGTCAAACCGTATCACACTAGGGCTTTCCAAAACACGCGCTGTTCTTGATGTGCGCTCTTGAGGTGGTTTTATACCATACGCCCCTGACCAGGCTCCCTCCCCCTGGTTAACTCTTTCGTCCCCCTTCAACCAGTCCTCCTCACGCTGGTGTTGTTGTGGAGCTTCAGGTGTGAAACACCCCCAAAAAGTGTATTATGCTACTTTTACCACTGCAGTTGAGACGCATTTGAGTCCTTTATATAGTCACACGACCAACATGACACGATTTGGCTTATCTTTAAAAGCCCAATATCTCAATGCAGATTTCATAAAGTCTCCCTATTTCAACAGACGAAAGTCTCCCCCATGTCACTTCATTATACAGAGAAAAGTAATTTCACAGGCACAATAAGGACTCCCTGAAACGACTCCAAGTATCCATGGTGGTCCCCGGAGGCGCGCTGGGCGCACAGGCGCGTCGTCGCGCAGAGAGGAAGACACCCCGGGGGCGCTTTACAGGAGGTCTGCCTCTCCCGTCGACATGTGTGCGGCGGCAGCCTTGTTGTTGTTTGATTAAAACGCTCCAACGGAAGGTGCTGCAACACTTCACTTGCGCGAGACAAATGGCGCGTAATGTGATTAGCCCTCGTGAGACTTTTTTATTGTCCACTTCAAAAGGACAGGTCGCTGTGTCAAATTATGCACCAAGCGGGGATGCTTGGTGCATAGGTGACAGTTCACTGAGCCCCGAGGCGTGGAGACGACCGGACATCTAATGTCGTTTCTCACCTTTTGAAGTCGATACATTCAGTTTGGGCTCAAGTGGAACAATAATGTTGCTGACGATTGCTAACACGATCTCATTAGTGTCGTGAATTCATTGTCAGTGTCATAACAGCTCGCGTAAAACCGTATTAAACACATATTGGTCATTTGGCTGTGCATGTATAATCCTTGTTGCCAAATGGCGCCTTACGCCAGCAGGACCATGGCAGTGGAACAGCAGCAGATCCAAAGCATCGCCCAAGTTAGACTGCAACATAAATACACTTAAAATGTTTTTTTTCCTGCATCACATGGTTTCTATATTAAATTGTTCCGTGTTTTAACTGTGTTGAAATCAAACCAAAGAAAACCAACAGGTCACCCTTAATTTATTACAAAGCTCTGGGTGTCACGAGTCCTCGGAGTAATGATAGGGGTGGTAAACTCAGGTCCTGAACTTACTTCAGCTGAGATATAACTCCAATGTGCCCATCTGATGCCCATGTGTGCCAGAAAGCACAGTGAGGAAGTCTGGCTGAGTGGCAGCGTACTTATTATTGCCAATAGAGTAACTGGCAGCAGACAGTGATCAGGATGAAGTAACTCACCACCTCTGATGAATGATACAACCAAGATCATATTTCATTTAAATCTCTATGTTCTCAATAATTATCTCACAAATATCCGATGAGATCAAATGTCTGAATTAGTCGTAAATACACATGAAGTTGGTCCTAGTCTGTTCTAATGGAATACACCAGACTGGCCTACTTCATTATGCTCTGTTAACAAGTGGTTCCCAGTATACAGTCCTTCTTACTCCAGGCACAGCATAGCTGTCTAAACCATGTAAATCTGTTCTTTGTCTGCTTCACTTCAAAAATCCCTCTCCAGAAAGGAAAAATCTCTTGTCTAAATGGGAAACAGAGAGCAGAGAGAATGGCTCGCCTGCTTTGGACACAGTGGTGGACATCAAAGGCGTAGCAGAGGATCCCCCTTCACAATAGCAGCTACATGCCATTCCAATAAGTGCAGTGTATGTGGATCTGAAGTTCAAAAGAGCCAGGCAGGTCTCTGGGGCCTTGCCACCAGTAGCACACTAGCTGCACAGATGTTTTGAATGCCAGCGCAGACCATTTGCCACTTCTGCTGAAACTCTGAGCAGTTGGAAGTGACTGGAGGGAAGTTTGGTCAACAGGTGACACGTGCTCCCCTCCTTCCCTGGCGGTGAATGTGAGTTATCTTACCTCTGGAGGAGGAAGTCAGTTAAAAGTTGATGATGAAATGAGTTGTCTGCCAGCACGATTGTTATATAATGAAGCGCCTGTACAGAGGAAGATATATTTGATCAAATTTCGTTTCTGAAACAGCAGTTTCACACACACACACACACACACACACACACACACACACACACACACAC